AGACCTGAACTAGTCTCATTGATTGAAATATCTTCTCTGTTTCTAATTCAGTGTTTATCCTCGTGCTCTCTTGGGGCACTTCTGAGCAAGAGACGCCCAAATGTGTGTGCTCCTCTCCAGTTCTCTATCAGATGCTGATCTGATGCTATCAACTAATTGTATTGAGGACCACAGCTTAGAGGATTTTGGAGTTGATTTGCTTTTTTTAAAACCCGCTTATTTAATTAAACAAGGGAGTAAGATTTTCTGACTTATTCCCAGGTGTTTGAGACAGTAAGACATCACCAGGATTGACGGAATTTATCCTTGAGTCAGCTACTACCTTCCTAGATAAATTGAATTCCATCAAAGCCAAAGATGACTCTTGATGTAGTAAGTCATAATATACTAACAGTATTTTTAGGGAGGATCATAGATAATATGTAGACCTGAGAGAGAATATTTATAATGTTGTAGGTCTGTTTTGCATTTATGTAGATCTCTAAAAATTCTTCCTATGCTCCTCCTTCATGGCATGTTCCCATATCCATCACTGCCCTGTCACCGCCCTTCCCCACCCTGTCCCATTGTATTGAATCAGGAACATATTTGTGCTCTGTGTTAATTCATAAGTGTTTCTCTTGTCAGAGTCTTGATAGGATTGTTATTGCTCCCTGGTGGCATTTCATTCCAAGTGCAGTGAAATCTCTTGTACTTGCCACTTGGATTAGAATGAAAGTTTTACATGGACAGAGGGTGCAGAGATGATGGTTTACAGAGGGAAAGTCTTTGCAGGGAACTTTCACTTAAATTAAATTTTAAAGCAAAACAAGCTTTTCTTTTTTAAGGCATTGATTTTCTAAAAAATAAATTAACCATCGACAGTAGAAGTTACATTATTTTTGGTGTGCTGGAAAGTAGTCAGTATCCTGAGTGATGTCAGATACTGAAAACCCAACTCGAGAGCAAGATTTTACCAACTAAGGCTGTCCTGGCAAAATCCTGAATTTACTCTGTAGGAGCCCATGAAGTCATTACCTCACCCGTCACTCCCCTCCATACAAAGGAAAGATGCCGGGAATGCTGTGGGGCAGGGGGACTCCTCCGGCCCCTTCAAAGAGTCCTCCCTGCCATTACCTTACCTGCCAGCTTCCCAGCAAGATAAATGGAAGCACTGTAGCTTGAAGGTGCCTTGGTTAGAATGAGATGCAGTAAGGTCTCTCTGTTCTTTCCAGACATCATAGATCTGATAGTACTTAAAAGGAAGAATAGAGTTGGTGCCCTGCTGACTAAATTGTCCTCCAGAGGAGTATTAGTTACAGAGCTTCTTTGTTAACTAGGCTGAATGTTTAAACCACTGTTGAACTTCTTTTATTAGCATGTTTTAAGATAGCTATGCATATGGATACCCTAAGCGTCTGCAGGGCGGGAATATTTCTCTATAATTTACATATAAAAGTTACGTGTATGTATAATAGTAATATAGAAATTACATCTTTTTATTACTCTTCTGTTACACTGAGGTCTAGTCAGCCCTGAAATTCTGATGACATGTGAGCACTGAGAAAGTCACCGTTTTTATATTTTTCTCTTGGTATTTCCTCGATCAGCTTGTTGAATAACAGAAATGTTTTTCATGCTTTTGCAGCTTGACTGAAGCCTTCTTAACACCCATCCATGTCACTTGTTCAGCCATAACTTGGAATTTTAAGGGAGGACAGGGAAGGAATTTATAGGTCATGTGGAGAATTTTACAAATTTCCAAGTAACAATTTGGGGTGTTTTTTTTTTTTATGAAGAAAGATTTGCATAAGATTATTTAACTTCAAATAATGATGTTTTAAAAAATCAAATCTATGTCAGGTCTTTTCTGTGTTTAATCCCATATGTAGTATAATAAAAGAGAATGGTTTTATATCTAGTTATCTACCGTTTTCTTTTTCTCCAAAGAAGCATCAAATCCTATTCTCCCCGCCCCTCCCCGCCCCAACTGATTTTGTCTGATTGACCCTTTGTTTATTAGTGATACACATTCGTGAGGTATTAAGGGAGTGCGTCTGCACCTGGAGCCCACCAGCCATCCTCACTGGGGGCGTCCCTGGGTGATTGGGATACCTGCAGAGAGAGCACGGCTCTCTCTGGCTCCCATTCAGTGTTTCCCCGATGGATGCAGCCGTGCGGCCAGCGCCTGTTCTTGGGGAAGCGCCGACAGGTCCTGCTGGGCAGCGTGTCACCACGAACTTCAGCTGGGTCCCGTCTCTCTCTTTACCCCAAGGGAGAGGCAGCGGCCGTAGAGGCTATACCAGGAATCCCGCCGCTCTCTGAATCAGGGGTTGGCACACTTTTCCTGAAAGGGCCCCATGGTAAATATTTTAGGCTTTGCGGGCCACGGGGTCTCTGTAGCAGCCATGGGCCACACAGAAAGGAATGGCGGGGACAATGTTCCAGTAAAACCTTACAGACACTGAAATTGGAATTGCAAGTATTTTTCATAGATCACAGAGTATTGCTCTTGATTTTTTTTTTTTTCAGTCGTTTAAAAACATTCAGCTGGTGGCAAAGCAAAAATAGGCAGGGTCCAGTTTGAGCCCCCAGCCAGAGGCTGCAATGCTTTGAAGAGCCCCTCTGGGGGTCCCTCCGCACTTCTGTGAATTGGTTACATCAAGTTAGGAAGGGAGGGACTTAAAGAACCATCCAGGACTCCAACCACTCTTCCCCACCCCGGCACCCATCCTCACTCTGAGGCTGTGCACGTGAGGAGTCAGCCGTTTGCCTGGGGAGGGAGGGAGGGAGGGACCGATGGAACTTGCCCTGTTTTCTCTTTCAGCAAGTCAGTGTGTGTGCACATGTACACTCTGCTGGCTTCAGTGTTGTTTCTAGAAAATCAGATACTTGCCTTGATTTCTGAAGTGTGAGTATTTTCTCCATTGTATGTAGCATGTCACTTGCTTAATAACCTTCCTGTGTTTCTGACCCTGCTTCGCAAAAGCTGTGTTCAGTTCAAAGAGTCTGAATCGAACTGTTGTTGAACCCAGTAGTCAAGTCAAATACAGTGTTTTCGCAGCTGAATATGTGCAAAATCATGCAACTTGTGTGCCCTGGGTAGAAATGTTTACTTTTTTCCTCTGGATTCTGAAAATACGATTCCGTTTGCCCCATTTCATTTTGGAAATTTAATGATACTTTCTCAAGTGGTGATGTGTTCAATCTACGCTGTGACTATTATGTTTGTTATTCATAAGCATGGTTATATGACGTTGAAGAGTACTCTCTACTTAGATGTTATTCTTCTTAGCATAAGAAATTTTTGTTTTTCCGTAACATTCATTTTTATGAGGCTTTCATAGCTATTTAGAAGGTATTTTTTAATCATTGGCAATTTTGCTATTAAAAAAAAGAGAAGTTAATTATATGATATAGCAGATGGTTAACAGATAAACTTTCCAGGAGACTGGGATCCTCATCCTGAGTTTGCTTTTTGACATTTGGGGGGACCCTGAAGAGCTACAACCAGCTGTGCTTTACCTGCTCCCTTTTGTATTTGCTGGTCTAGATTCATTCTTCAGATCCTAAGCATCCACCTGCACCAGTTTTCCAAGCCCTAGTTTTAGACGTCCCTGTAGTAAGCAGTGAGGTAAAATTAATAAAGTTGAATGAGTCGAGGGTATAAATTAGAATTGAATATGCTTTGTAGACTGTAGCATCATCCAGCATTTCTGATCCCGTTCTGTAGCATTTAGTCCTAGATCATCAAGACACGTAATTGTATACCACACCGCAGCCCTGAGAGCCCAGCCGCACCGGCTCTGTGCCCTGCCTGGGTCTGCAGACTCTTGTGACCTGGGATCACAGGCCGGCCCTGGCCGACTGAGCACCTGCTGGGTGAGCGGGACTGCGGGTCTGTACAGTGGGACTGGGCGCCATTCTGGGCCCCGGTGCCACGGCGGTGAGGAAGGCCAGACTAAAGTCTCTCCTCCTTTCAGTCTGACGAGGGTGCAGAAGCCTGTTTTTCTCCTTTCTCCCTCAGCCTCCCTTCGTCCCCTTTAACAGATGGTTCTGTCCTCAGTGGGGTCACCTTCGACCATAACTGACTAGCTGAGCTTCAGTTTCTGTATCTGTCAAACGGTGATTTTAACAACTGCCTTAGAGGGTGTTAGGAGCAAATTAGTTGGCACTAAAAATTGTTTCTTTAGCTTAAAATTGTTATAAAAAAATAAGGTATAACATTAGGACTCATTTCTGCCAACATAACCTCAAAGGGGTTTATATTCACATTATCATTCAGAAACATACATATTACTATTTTATTATAATGGTGCTTACAGTTACTTAGAATGCAAGAATTTCTCACCACAAGGTTTGGTTAAAATTTTGCTGTTCTGTGGGGCGCCTGGGTGCCTCAGTCGGTTGAGCACCCAACTCCTGATTTTGTCTCAGGGTCGTGGGTCCCACATTGGGCTGCATGCTCGGTGCAGAGTCTGCTTAAGATTCCCTCTCTCCTTCTGCCCCTCCCCCTGCTCACATACACACGCATATGTGCACTCTCTCAAATAAATAAATAAATAATTGCTCTTCCATTAGAATACTATAGTTTGAAATTCAAACAGTCCTTCAATGTTGACTCTAAATAGAAGGATCCGGAACAGTAGTTTTCAGTGTTGAAGCCACCATTCCATTCAGATGGTAAGTCACCACCTCAAGTGCTGTTTCCTGTGACTCCTTGAACATGTGTGTTGGACTAGGTGCTGGCAGCTTAAAGGAAAGCTGTCAGATGGCTTTATGAAAGAGAGGTACAACTTTATTTACTTTTTGGGGCTGGAACAGATCTTAGGGTTCAACTCACGAGAGACCTCCTGGAAGTCTTCTAATAGCAAGTGGCCACACTCTGAATTTTGGGAATTATCTAAGAAAAACTATCTCTGAAAGGGACACTGTTAGGATTTTTAAATCATTTTTTGGTCAGGTATGGGTCCGAGTGTGTTACTCCATAAATATATGGTGTTTCTTTCTTTCTTTCTCAGGACCTGTCTGGCTCCATCGATGACCTCCCCACGGGAACGGAGGCAACTCTGAGCTCAGCAGTCAGTGCGTCTGGGTCCACGAGCAGCCAAGGGGATCAGAGCAACCCAGCTCAGTCACCTTTCTCTCCGCACGCATCCCCCCATCTCTCCAGCATCCCTGGGGGCCCATCGCCTTCTCCTGTCGGCTCTCCTGTGGGCAGCAACCAGTCGCGATCTGGCCCGATTTCTCCTGCAAGTATTCCAGGTATTCATTTCTCAGTAACTACTATTTTACTCTGTAGTCAAGACAGACCTAGTGTTCATCGAGAGCAACATGCATGCCACTGCTTTCTTACTGTTGAAAAACCTGGTGATGTGAATTGTCACCAAAGCATTTGAGAGTTCCAGTTCCTAAAGATACGCAACTAATGAATATAAACACTCAATAAAATCACCAATTACTTTAATATTTTTGGCTTGGACATTCACCTCATGCTAGAAAATTATTTATTCTTAGCGAATTTTGTAGTGCTTCTGTTCACTAAGGTGCTCTGTTGGTAAGTGCCACCAAGGTGAGACTGTGTGCGAGGATTGGCCTTAGTTTGTATGGTTCTGTTTAATTTATGCCAGGACGGATATTGTGTAGCCCATGTTTCGTGTTTACACTCACCTGTGTTTTACTTGGCCCGCACACATTCGGGTCCTTGTTACTGATAGAAACGGACCTTCTGATTTTGATACAAGGAGTTCATGTTCCAGTTAACTCTTGCATTTGTATTTCAGTGGTCTCACTGCTTCTGTATCTTCTGCTTCCTTTATTGTGTACGTAGGCTTATTTGTCTGTCATGTCCAGCTTTCTTATGTCAGCATCACCCATTTCTTGTATCAGCAAACTAAATGTAATTTTTTTCCCTTGTAACTTTTGCGAGCACAGTCTAGGTGGCTGCCAGAAAGTGCCTCTTACTAACCTATTAGAACTATATTAAATTGCTGATAAATTTTCTAATAGTTTACTCTGTTCTCTTGAAAGCATGGATGGTAGTTTTATCCCTTCTTACCGTTTTCTTTCTTTTATATTTAAAAAAAGCTCATGATGGAATGTTTTATATATAAGCATATATATAAATGTATAGAACATGCTAATCGTGAGACATAACTATCAAAGAATACTCATGAACCCACCATCCAGTTTAAAATTGGAGTATCACCAATGTTGTGTGTCTACCTGTGTGTTCCTCCCTTCTCTTCAGGTTTCTTCCTCTCCCCTGCCCCAAATACTCTCTGAATATTTTTTAATGGTTCTTTTTGGGGTTTTTTGAAGAATTTTATTGCAAAAATTCATAGAGTATATATCATTAGTTTTGTTTAGTTTTGAGATTTATAGAAATGTATTTATAGAAACATACTTAGAATGACTGTATCATTTTTCAGCGAGCTGAGACACTTTGGGGGCAGGAAGGGTTGCTATTAATAATTACAAGACAATAGGCATAAACTAGGAAGGTTCTTGGCACAACAGGAAATGTGGTTACCCCATTTGTACTGTACTGTAAATGGTCTCCTAGAATTTACTTATTTAACTAAATATTCTGTTTCTAAGATTCATCCATATTTTAGAAAACAGCTATAATTTCGCACATTTTGATGAAGGCATTTTGATGTTAACCTTTCTTTCAAAAAAGAATCTCTGTCCTCACAGAGATTATAGTAAAACCTGGATTTATCTGCTTTTAATATTTTTTAAAGCTATGAATACTCTATATTTCAGAATTCCTTAGGCAATTTTTGGTTATGAGATGGTTTTTGAAGCATCACTTACCTAAACATTGGAAAGTCATATGTAAAATACTGTATTTGTCGAGCAAGAACGCGCTGCTTTCTAAATTGGATCAAAAGGACTTTTCTTAATAACTTCGATGAAGACTTTTCTGAGATATAAAGATATTGTAGTTTTTCATTTAAAATTCCTGACACAGGTAATTCACAATCTGATGATTTGCATATATACGTTTTATCATTCCGATGGGGATTTTGAGGCTTCCTCCTCACTGTTTGGATTTTGATGTGGTGTAGAACACATCCCCCAAGAAACGAGCTCGCTTGGGACACATGATAGCGCAGATTGTGGAGGAGGTAGCTCAGCAGGGGCACTGGCTTCAGCGTCTGCTGCTTTGTTCACTCATGCGCAGGGTTAAGTTGGTCAGCGGATGACGCTTCTGATGACCCATTAGCCCCATCTCAACAAGTCACGGCAGGTGGGGGCCTGGATAGGATTCTCTCCGCCTGCTTCCTGGGAAAGGAAGTTTTTAGTAGAAAGCTCTCAGGTTTCTTGGAAATGTTGTTTAAAGCATCCAGTTCGTTTTTAAACTTGGGTCCAAAATGCGAACTGCTCGGGGCCTCCATTTTCATTTCACCGCACGCTTCCAGGCCGCTCCTCTGCATCGCCTGGTTCAGGGAAGAGATGCCACAGCAGAGGTTCCATCTGGGGGGGAGGAAGGCTCTTGCAGTAGATCCGTAACCACGTTTGCTGAAGGCAGTGGGGTACAGAGTCGTGGAATTGTATACAGCACGGCAAATGGAATGTCTCTTTCATGTTCATGTTACTGTAAGAGGAATAACCTCCTGGGAAATCTGGTCGGCAGTTTTGACACCTGTTCCCTGTTCTCCTGGCTGGAATCATAGATTACATTTCAGCGGGATGGACTTTCATAATCATCTGATATCACCTCGTCATTTTACTGGCGCTTCCTCGTTGTGTAACCTTGGACAGGCCTCTAAGCCTCTCTGAGCCTCAGTTTCTGCATTTGTAAAGATAATAACTGTATCTCTTAGGGTTCCTGTAAAGTTCGAATGTGTTAATGCACATGAGGCAGGTACAGGGTCAGCACTCAGTGCATGTGAACTGTTGTTGCGTACGGTTATTATTACCTGAGACCTAGAGGCTTGCCCCCGTGATTACCGCCCAGACCAGCACAGTTGGTTTGGGCAGCGAGTCTTCTGATTCTTAATCCAGCGGTGTTCTTGTTCAGTTCAGAAGACACGCATGTAAAGTTTCCAGTGATGACTTGCTGGGTTTACTGAGGTCACTCAGTAAGACTGCCTTCAAGCGAGCCATGAAAGCATAATGTATTTTCACAAAGTTGAATCCATGTTTCTTCTAACTGGAAAAAAAAAAAATGGTAAGTTAGTGGTTGATCTTCTTGGGGATTGGGTCTGAGAAGGCCAAGAGGAGACCAGAAGACAAGGGGAAAACAAGAATCCATACCCTTGCTTCATTTAGATCCTAGGCAAATTGATTGTTGTGTAATGTGATGGGCAGTCAGTCTAACATAAAATTTAACGATAGAGGTAGTTTAAAATCCAGGGTTATTTCTCATACTTTTGCATGTATCGAGATAGCATCAACTAACTGGTCAGTACACCCTCTTAGTGGCCAGGTGCAGTCGAGCAGGTTGCTCACGGACAAGGACATGGGCCAGAGGGGTAAATGAGAGTGAAATTCAAGCTGCTTTCCTTGGGAAGGGGCACCCTTTTTTAATTCATACAGAGGAGCCACACATCTATCTTGCCCTGGACCTCTTGGTGGTCATCCTCCATGGCTTGCATCCAGATACTACCTGTTTCTCCTCCTCTGTTCCCAAAGCTAAGCCCAGGGACGTTCAAACATCGGTTTTTGATAGATGTTCATCACAAACCTTGTATGTTGTTATCTGAAGGGGATTTGTTAAAAATCATGAAGGTTTTTGTTTGAAAAAAATTTTGGTCTTCTCTTTCCCTTCACCTAGCCTATATGCTCTTGTTTTTTTTTCTTTTTTCAATGGATTTGTGTGAACTTGGTCATAGGTAATAAAACCACGTTTTAGAGATGGTCATAAAGTTGATTGTTCCTTTTTTATTTAACCAAATGCAAAGACACCTTCCCTTAGAGAATCATTAGGCCCATTTAGTAGTCTCACCTTCTCCTGTTCCCATCCCTAGTCCTCATGTTGAAGTTTTGTGAATCCATCCATTAGATCCTAAGCCCGATGTACGGTCTAACGCCATTTGCTCCTGAGTCTGTCCTGGTGAAGTACGGATATCAGGTGGCGATGGCCCGGTGTCCCACCCAAGGCAGGAGACTCCCGACTGCTGCTTTGGGAATGTGTGATTGGACTTTCCGCCCCCCCTTTTTTTTTCTGTAATATTGTGCTTTCTTTCTCCCTGTTCCCTCCTCTCGTTGCCAGCACTAACTTGTTTCTTCTGACCTCGCTTCTCTTCCATTACCTCCTGCTCTAGATTGCTCCTGCCTCTCTCCGTGTGTCACAGATTGACTCTTTCACTCATTGTCTCCGGCAAGTCATTGTTAAAACGCGCAGCTGGTGTGTAGCCGATAGCCGCGGTGGGGTAAAGCCAAACTGTCGTGGGGCTTCTTCCTACTGTTGCCTCCCAGGGTTTGTGAAAAAAAAGAACAATCATTTTTCTCCATCTCTGTCCTGGTAAATGAAATTGACAGCTAATGAGAACTATTACAGAGGTAGATAAACAAAAGCCCAGGAAAGCATCCCAAATGGCTGAATCTGCTTCTTGCCTGTTAAACCATTTCTCCACCCACTGCACATTTGCCCTCCTGTCCTGTTGCCTCCCAAACATTGTGAGTGTCATGGGGACGGCTGCTGTGATACATGCTGGCACCGCATCGGCCCTGGCACTGCCCTCGCTCAGTGGGGCTTTTCCTTCCTGCATTCTTTTGAAAAGCAGGATGGAGATTTTCTATGGTAAGTAGCCACATGGATTCTCCCTTTGTTTGCACATTCCTGGGCTCCAGCCCTGCGGCAGTCGGCAGTCCGTAGTCAGAAGTTAAGGGTTTCAGCCCCGTCGTTCAATGTAAACAAGCATTGGAGAACCAAAATGTGTACGTTGTACGTTTCCCCCAGTGCCATGATACGTTTCCTTGTTTCTCCTTTTTGTTTTCATTTCTCCCTCCTCTTTATATTGGTGTATTTATATTTAGAGACAGAAACGAAGTATCTTCATCTTTCTAATTGGTAGTGCGCATGTATATACACATTTAAATCAGGCAAATCTCACGTCGGGTGCAATTGATTTGAAAGGTCTGATGTTAGACATGTGGTTTCCCTTCTAATAAATGATCCCGTTGTACTTTTGCTGCTTACTGGCTCACATCCTAGAGTTATTTACCTTGGTTTTAGGAAAATAAACGATTGGGTCTTGCATGTATTGTGTAGGTCTGACACGGGGCCTCATTCGTCCCCACACGTAGCAAAG